AGGGGGGAGAGGGAGAGAGAGCTAGGGGGGAGAGAGGGAGAGAGGGGGGGGGAGAGAGAGAGAGATTTTTTAATACAACCAATTGATTCGTTGAAAAAATTATCGGCCATTAATCGATTATGAAAAGAATCGTTAGCTGCAGCCCTAAACCTGATTTGCAATGGGGGTTGAATAATTTGGATTAAACTGTAGCTTTACTGAATAGTCCATTGGATATGGGCAGTGCAAGAACCAGCGAAAACACTTGCTGGAATTTCCCCATGCCGAGATTCAGGGCAGTTCAGAAAAACAAAGTCACTGCACAGGTAGGTTGTGTTCTTTGAGGCTTGACTTGAATGTACCTTTAACAGGAACAGTTGAGAAGAAAAGCTTATTGATGTTAGGTTTAAAAAAGAAAAAGAAAAGCTGTTGTGGAAACAGACCCTTACATATATACCAGTCAGTTGAGGGGGAAGTTTATGAGTTCTACATTTCAATCAAACAGTGAGAGACCTAATCATGTACCCTGTAGATATCCGTGGATCTCACAGTTGGGGACTGATTGCATGGTAAGCTCCAATGTGCTTTAAATTCTGTAATGCCGAATATTACTGGATGGAGTTTTGTTTTCCTGGGGAGAAATTCATCTTTCATTCCTCGACAATCATGGCTGCATAAAAGCTTATTCGGAGTGGCTGTGCAGGGAGTTGTTAATTGTACAAGTGTTCCTGTACTGATGAACAGGAAAGTGTAAAAAAAAATCAGCACGGGTTATATATGTGCATATGTATATTTATGTACATTTTATATTGTTACAGTATTTGCCCCACAGTACATTGTGTATCATCATTGATAATGCATTGTTTGTGAATAGTAGGAAGTATATGGACGTATTGACAATAAACCGTGCAGTTACATGAATAAGTATGAGCATTTTGCTTTTCGTCAGTGAACATTTAAAGCTGAACTCCAGGCAAATATGTATCATTTCAAATTCATTTAAATTATGTTCAGACAGTGTTGTGACCCAGGAGTCTCTGCCAGACTTCACAGGTCCTGGAGCTGTTGTTTAAACTATTTTTAAAAAGGATTCTTCGCTGCAATACTCATCTGCTCCCTGGTGATGTCCCTGGAAGGCTCAACATTGCGTGGTCCAGTGCCAATCCCAATCTGGGTTGAGTTACATATCTTGTTAGCTCAGGGCTTTATGGACCTACCCTTTGAATGTGCATCATCACGGTGCTCTGCTAGAGAACAGTGCTGATGTCAGAAAGAAGAAAGAGGACCCTGCATGATAGGCCAGAAGGCATCTGACTTGATGGAGGAGGGTGGACTGGGGGATGGAAAGGGAGTATGGAATTGGTCTAGTGACAGGAACATGACTTTGAAGTAAGAAGGAAAGGACCTTCACCCTCTTGGCAGTGACACACTGTATACCTTCAGCAGGTCCTGTCTGTTATCTTGCTGATCTCACCAGTCCTGACAGCTCCCACTGTAAATCTCACCACTGGCCATGGTGAGCAGGCTCTTGCAGATTCACAGCAGATTCACAGGCTCCCAGCTTATTGTGTGAAGCTGGGGGACCTGTGTTTTCCATTCCTATCCCACAACAGTGGATATTTTCTGGATTCTGGTTTTAACTTACAAACTGTATGGACATCTGTTCGCCCCATTTACCTCCACAGTTGAGATTGTTTTAGTGCCTCTGGATTTTATGTTTATTTCTTTCTTGACCCAGGGCAATCAATTCTGTATGTCAAGGGACACCTAGAGTGAACCTGTTCTTGCCCATGCAGGAGAAGTAGAAGGTTTACTTAAAGCTGAAGTGTATTGTATGTATATAATACATTCCCATGTAACCCCCAATTAACATGCAAATACATTTTTTTTTAAATCATGAAGTTTTTCAAGAAATAACTGTTCTGAGACCCAGTAATGTCACCACTGGGTCTGTTTGCTGCTTCCTCGTGGGAGGGGCTGCTAGGCTCCTGTAAACATCACAGCTTTCTCCCATGGATCTTTTTCAAAAGCATAAAAAAAAACACATCTTCAAGATCCCATTATATGTGTCTGCTTCTCCCTGCTGACCACTGGTGGGTTGCAGGCATGTCTAAAGAGATGATGGAGATGTGTTCTTTCATATAAAGCTCAGAAAATGATAGATGGCAGAGAAAGCTAATAGCGCTGAAGGGGGAGCCAACAACAATACGGATCAGGGGGCAAGTGAATAATTAAAATGAAGGCAATAAAGGCTGGCTTAAGATAGCTGCAGATTCAAGATGTTATTTTGTAGAGATGCAAGCTTTCAGGGAATTATGAGTAATCAGTTTTTAGCACAGAAGAGGACTTGCTACAAGTGTGGGGAAAAAGGTAAAGCTTTAAAGCCGAACTCTATCAGCATAGTGTCCCCAGAGCATACTTGCACATTATGGAAGACTTACCTCCCAGTGTGCCTTACTCCATCAATGCAAGGTCTATACTGCTCTTCATCATTCCATCACCATCACTGCCATCTTCTCGCCCATCTTCCTTCGGGTCCAGCATCTTCTTTCTTCTGGCATTGATGACATACCCCCATGCATGATCTCTGACTGCAACATTTACCTCCTTGCCGGTGCTTCAGTAATTTAATGTAATGTAACTAGATGTCCCTGAGGTTTTAGGTTAAATGGGACCCAGTATAAGGACAGGGTATCATAGACGTGCCTCCTGAGCCCTGCACTCAATTACGTCATTACATCAGCACCATTCTCTGCACTGTTTAGGACCACCCAGCGCAGGAGAAGATCCAAAGAGGGCCCCATGTATCACAGGACCAGCCTGAAGACATTTGGGAAAGGTAAGTATAAAACACAAGGCATAAAATACAACTGTGTGTAAGTTTTGGGGAGGGGAAAGCATTGGGGACTGGGAGGGAGGAGGGGTAATTACTGGTGGTTGGAAAGGGGGGGACGGTTATTGGTGAGATCGGCTTTAAATCCCACACAAGGGCTTCTGGGCAATCTTGGCTTTTATAAAAGGGTACCTATTTTAATTGCGATTAAACATTGCAAAACACGGCACTAAGCCACTTTCAATACAAATGCTTAATAGAAGCTATTGACTGTTACATTCAGAGCTGTATGAGTCATAGTAAGCAACATATAGAACAAAGTGAATAGGCAGTACAGTCAGGACATGCTAAAATGTAATTCTTTGCAGATCATTCAAGGGTTTTTTTTTTCAAGGTAGATAAATGCATTCAAGAGCTTTAGAAAAACTTGAGCATATGTTTGCCTTACACAATAATATTTCATCCAGCACAATGAAGTAGGCAGTCACAGAAAAACCTCTTGATCTGTAGCAAACAATCATTTTTTTTTCACAAAAGTCTTCATTTTGGGGAATCTGTGTTTATTGGCACTACCTGCTATAATAAGCGCACTTGTTCTTTCAGTAAACCTTCCCTGTGCCTTCCATACAAAGACAGCTCCTAATCCCGCTATCGACTTAAATAAACAGAAGCAAAGCCATAGTAAAACATAGAGGGATTGAAAATGTGAACAATATTTCAAGTAAGCGCAGTGTTTAGTAATTTTCTAACATCTCTACAAGAAAGGAAACTGTTTCCTTGTTTCATATTTGTGGTATGGTTAGAAACCCATTTAAAGTAGATGTATCGTTTGGAAAATAAAAAAAACATTGTAGAAGATGAAGTTGGAGGTGCCATTTGGTTTTGGAAAACACCCCAAGAACATTTATTTTAAAGTTTATGTTAACTCAACTGCTTAAATCAAAATTTAGACTTTAACATTTCAATTTAAGTCATTTTAAATTTGAAGCTTTTATTAAAAACATTTGGCTGGTGATCCCACCATGTTTAGGCACTTGCTATGAAAGCTCTCTGTCCCTGTCTCTCAACTGTGCTCCTCAATTGTCACCCTTTCACAGAGGCCTCTGTTTCAGTACACATTAAAGCAACTTTGTCGCCTAAAGTGACACCAAACTCAGGACCTAAATTTTACAAATGCATTCAAGTACCTTAACTATTAACAAAAATGTATCTTATTTGTGTATCACTCGGCTGTAGATCCTTAAATCATCTCTGAACTGGTGCTGACACTGTCCTTCCTTCTGGAGGGGGGCTACTTTTGTTCCCCATGGTCCCTGTGTGTATTGTAAAGTAGTCACCGCTCCATTCTCGCTCCTGTGATGGACTACAATCTCAATACAAATTAGTTAACTAAATGTGAGATTGTAGTCCATCACAAGGGTTATTTTTTTTTTTTTAAACATTTTTTCAAGTGACAAAGTTACTTTAAGCAGGCATTGTCCACTGTTGTCACCATCAGGAAACCTGTCCTAAGGAATGGCATGCAGACATTCATGAAGTGCATGCAGACAAAATGGCATGGTCCACTGTTGTTCACTGTTGTCATCTTCAGGAAACCTGTCCTGAGCAATGCCATGCAGCCATCTATGAAGTGCATGTAGAAAGAATGGCATGGTCTACTGTTGTCACCATCAGCAGATCCATTCTGCGCAATGCCATGTAGCCATATATGTAGTGCATGTAGACAGAATGGTATGGTTCACTGTTGTCACCATCAGCAAACCCGTTTTGAGCATTGTCATGCAGCCATCCATAAAGTGCAAGTAAACAGAATGGCATGGTCCACTGTTTTCCACTGTTGTTACCATCAGGAAACCCATCCTGAGCAATGCCATGCAGCCATCTATGAAGTGCATGTAGACAGAATGGCATGGTCCACTGTTGTCACCATCAGGAAACCCGTCCTGAGCAATGACTGCCATGTGGCTGCAGGAGAACAGCAGCAATGAGATCAAACAAAGATGCAAATAAATTATCTGAAAAATTGGTAATTAAAGATGTCAATGGCCAATTGCAACAGCGTTTTAGCAAACTAAATATCATCCATTTAGGGGTTTATGTCAATATAACTATTTTCTTGATACTACAATGCAGTTGATCTATAACCTGCTTTCTTTTTGCATTTTAGTTTCTCCAAAGATCTTTGACATCACCCCCAACATGATTGTCAACGAAGGAACAAATGTATCACTTACATGTTTGGCTGCTGGAAAACCAGAACCATCAATATCATGGAGACATATCTCCCCATCAGGTAGGGGTACGGAAATATTTTTTATATATCTGTTTGTGTTTTGTGGTCCAGATCTTAGTGCCAGATTTGTGTGGCATTGACGATCGGTGATACTGTCGCCCACCTTGTAGTTGGGGTGTCTATGTACAAGTCAAACTCTACCCATAAGGAACTTACACACTGCAACTTGGTATGGAGTAACTTTTGGGGTCTCTTTATGATGGTAGTTACATGGCTCAATCTCATGACGTGAAATAAGGAATCCCACCACTGCCTTTATAGCAGCGCTTGGCGCTTAGACTCTCAATTCAACAATCAGATCTTGGAGAGTTCTCTAATTGCCTGACACTGTTCAACGTAAAGGTGTTGTAAAGTCCCAGCACATCCTCTCCTGTTATAACATCAGCATTGTAATAGGAATACATACTAGAGTTGTTTCTGATAATGCAATCAAAACTTACTTGAAAAAAATCTCTTTTATGTAGTGAGTGCTGCCTTCTGTCTGCCCATCACCTCCAACAACTTCCTGGATTCCCAGTGTGCTTTGCTTCTGATTTTTTTCTGATGCAGTTTAGTAACACTTACAGTAAGGGTGTCCCAAAGCCGGGTGTCACCTGGAGCGGAGACCAGGTGACACCCCGCCGTGAAGTCATCGCGCATGCCTCAATGCGGCGGTCTAATTGATGTCTGCCGGCGGCCATCTTGGTGATGGACGGCAGCAGAGAGAGGAGGGGACGTTCACCCGGCGGGATGAGATATCCCGCCGGGTCCCCTCCTCTCTCCTGCAACTGTCGGGCTCTCTGTCCATGACCGAGTGCCCGACTTTTTAGAGGGGATGACACCAAAATGCGCCCCCCTTGTGACGCCACTGACTTACAGGTCTTGTCCCTCCCCCAGCCTGTTACTGGGCAGTGAAAGGAGAAGCAACAGACTGATGAGCTCATCTCTCTGTCTCTCAGCTTTTTCATCCTATTAGCACGTTCCTTGCTAGCACATGATCGCTGTGTACAACTGGTTGGCTTCTTGTACGGTTTCTCGCTCTTCCAGTCTGAGCTCTGCTTTACAGGGGACTGCAAGATGCTTATACCAGGTAAAATTCAGGTACTTTCACTGCTAGCATTTAAACAAAAATGTAATTATTCCCTCTCGCCTTGTGACTTGAAACAAAGTTACAATGTTGCTGTCTTATCACTGGGGGAGAGGAGACTGAGGAAATGCTTCCTCATGCCTGCAGCAGACCCATGGTGTACTGTAAATTCAGTCTCGGAAACGTCACTTGGCTGGTGCTTAGAATTGCTTTTTAATGATAAAAGTTGGATTTTTTTAAACTATACTGTTGCTGTATGTGAGAAATATCAGCAATTTTGTAAAATTACTTTAGGCTTTAATGACATCATGCAGCACTTTAAAAACATAATGGTTTGATAATGATCATGTCTAAGGATTGCAGATCGCCCATAAGATGACTTTACCATTCTATGACAAAAAGTACAGCATAGCGGGTAATGGAGTATTCGTCATGTGTGTGAATCTTCTATTATCCGTCATTGTTATACTTTGATCCACAATCGGACTTGTTGACATGGTACAGTGACATCAAAAGCTCTTAGCAGAGAAACCGCAGAGCCATGCAAGACCCAAGAAGAGACCTCACCATGGAAAGACATTGCTGATCATAAGCTCGGGCCAGTGAAGCCAGGGACACGGGGGACCTTTATAAACGTCATGTGCTTTTGCTTGGTAGTTAAAGTGACTCTGTTCCTATCTGAGGTGTACCTGTCAATGACGAGTGTACATACTTACCTTTCCTGCTACCAGTGCCGTGGAATCCTCGTTCGTTGCTAAAAAGTGGTCCCCTGAAGTCAATCAGTGGTTCCTCACTCTGGCCTCTACTCATTACAGAATACAACATTGACATGGAGGTCAGCAGGAGGAACCAGTGAGAGCTGCAAGCAGGAGGAACCAGTGAGAGCTGCAGGCAGGAGGAACCAGTGAGAGCTGCAGGCAGGAGGAACCAGTGAGTGCTGCCAGGAGAGAGAGAGTAAGGATAGACAGCCAGGAAAGAGAGCAAGGGGAGACAGCCAGGAGAGAGAAAGTAAGGAGAGACAGCCATTGAAGAACTTGGTAAATGGGCCAAAGTATAAACTGTCTGTCACAATTTCATCCATGAGAACATGTTTGGGGCCCAATAAGGGGGAGAGTGTGTAAAGGTGCCCATACACCTGCCTATTGTCGTACGATAATCGCGGGTGATCCTGCGATCGTACGATACTCGGCAGGTGTATGGGCAGCGTGCGACCGCATCTACTGTACGGTCGCATGACTTTCGTCTTCCTAGCACGCTGGAAAACCTGCCAGAAATCGTACGGGTTGGCAGCGTGCTCGGAAGACGAAAGACGCACGGGCTGGTGTGTGCAAGCGTACACTGCCCACTCAGCATTGCAATCATCGGGAAGCTGATTGGTTGTAAGGTGTATGGCCAGCTTTAGGCACACGGCTGTTTACAACCAGTAGCACCAGCACGTGGTTGCCTCTGTCTGCTTGAAATCTTGTGTCTGGGTTTCAGCTGCCATGAAACCCGGACACCACATTCAAAACCCAGACTGTCCGGGTGAATTCCAGACAGGCGGCAATCCTATTGCGGACCCCACAGTGCCGGAGTGAAGGAAAGTAAATAGGACTTTAATTCCCTTTTAACCTGAATACTCAGTGGCATAAGACATGTTAACTTTTAATTCCAGACTTCAAAGCACCTAAAACAACTTTGATATCATTTGTTTCCACTCCTGTCAATTATTTATTACTGTGTTGTTTACAAAATGAACTTTCCGGACGTAAATCTTAAACCTGTAGATTCCGAGCAATATACAAAGCTCATAATTTGCACACTTCTGACTTATTATTCTACGGGAAAGGGGAGGAAAAAAAAGTTTCATTTTGCTGGCGGTAGAGATTATAGCACTACAGTACAAATGGTTTAATGTCCCTTTGTGATTGTATTATAGATTCTAGACGCAGACCTGACTTTACCATTTCAAAGGAGGAGAAAGCTCTTTTGAAAAGACTTAGCTGAGCAAATTTCAAAATATCTTTACTGTCATTTTCTTAAGAAGTTAACTATGAATGTCATTAAGTTTAAAGCAGTTTGGAAATAAGTTTTCGGAATACAATTGATCATTTGAATCGGATCATTTGTCCGAAAACGTAGTCTGTGGAATCACTAGTGCTTAATAGGAGGTTCGCCTTTAAGGCCCTATTCACACTTGTGCATTGTGGAAATAAGTGGTAAAACATGCGTGTTACTACAATGCATTTGCTGTATATGTAGCGTGTTGCAGTGTCATTCATTGTGAATGGTGCTTCAATGAATATATCGCAGGTTCCGGCACACAGCTTCATGTTCCGATCCTTTATTAAATATCGGATGGTCAGTTTACATCATAAACCCGCTAACACGTTTCAGCCACACATGGCCTTAAAGGAGAACTAGGGGGTCAGGGCTTTTCCCCATAGTTCTCCTTAGGGTAACGGGAGGACACAAACTAGCGTACTCCCGTTACCCCAAGCTCAGTATACCGCGAGGTGCATGCTGCAGTGAACAGTGACTGTCAGGCACCGCTCCCCACAGGGATTCCCCACCTACCATCTCCGATTCTCCAGCGCTGAGTGGAGGAATGAACAGGGAGGGGGCAGGCACAGCTGGCTCTGCCTCTAAATGTTTGGTTGGGAATTATAGGGTAGACTCCACATTTTTTTTTTTTCGGGCGGTGGGGATTCCCCTTCAAATTCCTACCAGACCTAAAGGCCCTGGTATGACTTTTGGGGGGAACCCTACACATTTTTTTTATTTTTAACTTTTTTATTTTTAACTCCCTCCTAACATTCCTACCAGACTTAAAGGGTCTAGTAGGGGGACCCCACTCTGTTTTTTTTTTTTTTACAATTTGTTTACATTTTGCTTCGGCAGACCTTTCTCCCCGCTTCGGATGTGTCTTCAGCTCAGCCGAGCCAAACACATATGCTTCTGCTCGGCTGAGCAATTTGGCTGCTATTGTGAATAGCCTGTAGAGCAGCCCTTCAGTTTGGCTGAACCGAACGGCTCTTATAGCCTAAGGATTAGCAGAAGGTTCGGCTATATCCTTCGGCTCTATAGTGAATAACCCCCTAAATGTTTAGCTGCTTCTTTGGAGTTTAGTATTGAAGTATTCTCCTTTTTGAGACAGGAATACGGGCAACAAAAGATGAGAACATGAAAGAGAATGTAAAGTTAGCTATCCACCATAAATGCAAGTCTCTCATTTCTCCAGCTGACCGTGACCTGCAGATGCTGTGGCAGTGTACTGGGGTGCTAACATCAGCAGTCTTCGGTTACAGAAAATGAAAACTGTCAGCACTGGCAAAGATGATGACCCTTTGACCCATCATGCTGGTTACAGGTCATCAGGTCATATGACCCAAAATCGTAGCATCACTGGACCAGCTGTGGACACTTATATCCTCTTTATTAGCTCAGTTGGTTCTTAGAAAAAGCTGTTGCTGCATAACCTCCTACATCTCGGAAAATACCGCCGTCCTAGAAAACCTCAGCTTTTTATGAGTCGAAGGCCCCATCTTCTTCTTAAATCAACCATTTTTAGTTTGAGTATTGACGCTGTATTGATTTGCCCTTTATCCCAATGAACTTTGGAAGTTGTAAGTTGTTTTTCTCAATAAAGTTGTTTGTTTTAGTGATGGCTGAACATCCAGAGGACTATTATTCTTTGTTCGATAAGCTCCAAAGAGCAGATCTAGAGACAACATTACAGATAAGGAAACGTATCAGATACGCTTTTTGGAGAATGTGAGGTGTATGACTGAAAGGATTGACAAGTTGTATAAAGAGTGTTGACGTTTTTTACCCAATGGAAAAAATAGATAGATAGATAGATAGATAGATAGATAGATAGATAGATAGATAGATAGATAGATAGATAGATAGATAGATAGATATTTTTTATCAATGTATTTGTATTTAATGTTTGTTCATC